CCAGGAAAGCTTTTGGTAGTTGTGGGCCAGCACCGTCACCGTCATCTGCTGTGGGGACTTCTGTCTCCGCAGCACCTCCTGCAAAGTCCATGACATCACCGATCCACAGGCGCAGCACAAAGAAGGCCTGACGTCCGAAGACTGTACGCACCTCGCAGATTTGTGTGAGGCGGCTACCTTCTGGCAGGGCTACATTGGGTTCGTCTTCACTGATGGGATTGGTCTCCTCAGGCGCCAGTGGTTCGGGTCGCAATGGGCGTGCAAGCTGCATGAGCAAGTTGGGTTCGGAGCGTACTTCATCCTCCTGAGCCAAGCCGGTTTCTTCAAGCTTTGCCATCTCCATCTCCCGCTGGAAGAAGTCGACGACCAGCTCCCGGTAGGATGCTTTCTGCTTGGCCTTTAGCTGCTCGATCTCACTTTGCCAATGCAACTCTAGCGCATCAATCTCACTCACGTGCTGCCCGACCAGAACGTGAATGTCGACTGGAGCATCGCCATCCTCCTCTTTCTCCTGCCGAACTTTCTCCATCTCCATGCTCTGACAACCTGGGACTTTCTAAGATCTTTGCTCATGCGGCATGCTGCTACTTGGGATTTTCCAGCGAATCAAGCTCTCGAGCGGGGTGTGTTTTTTGCTGAGAGCCGCGCGCTGCAGCTCGGAGATTGCAACAGCACGACCTGCTCGCAACTCGCGAATGCCCTTCAAGTAGGATTCTTCCAAGGTTCCAATCGTGCGGAAGAACATCGGACGATGCCGCAGGAGGAAGTCATAGGCGCACCAGAAGGTCAGGTCCCAGCTCTGCGACCCGCCACAACTTCGTAATTGCGGGCCCCACGAATAACTGTCTGGTGGCATCAGGCCTCGTAGCTGCAAACTTCGCAGCCTTTCGTTGATGCTCCCCGGCTGAGAGCGCACAGGGTTTACTGGAAGGTCAGAAGACGGCAGCGATATGGCAGAGGGCAAGTCGTTTGCTAAGCCATCTTCGTCCTCTGCCAAAGCTTCTCGAACTGCCAGGGTGGCGTACTCAAGTGTCTGATGGAAGAAACAGCTCGGCAGCCTCGGTCAAAAACCATGGCCGATCCGGCTGTCCGTAGATTTGCCTATTTCTGGATCTGAATCTTAAACTGACAAATTTCAACCCCTGGCTCTACAGCCCAGCAGCTGGCCCTGTTGGAACACCTCCAACACCCGTGTGAGGACATCGTCACCTGTCGCTCTCAGCGTCCAAGACTCTCTGGCGTACGGTTCCTGATTCATGTAGGCTTCGTGGCTACTCGTTGCGGTCATTATTGGGCCTCGGCGGTGGGATAACCTGCCGTTGTGCTTGGCATCACCATCATCATCGCACGGACTGCATCAACATATCGCCACAGGGTCTCAAGACTCACCAGATGCAGCTTCTACGCTGGCTGTGCTCTGCACAACGAAAAGCAAGGAACTACAGCAGCTAATCTCAACAAATCTTCGGATCATGCCTCAGTCTCTCCAGCCGAACTCGAAATTTGGTGGCAAGAGGCGAAGCCTCGAATCCACGAAACTCTGAGACCAGGACCTGCCCAAAGCTGCAAGCTGAGCACGAACTGATTGGAGCCCAAGCGGTGGAAGACACGCAGAGGGATGTCGCACGGGGCCTGCACCGGCACCAAGGAGCTAGGTCTGCCTAATGGCCGTGGCATGGGTCATGAGTCGTCTGGGCGGCGAAATAGACATACCAAGTTTTGTTTTAAGAATGCCCAACGCCGACTGCTGTACTGCACAATGGGAAAATGTTTGGTGCGCGCGAAGGCGCAGTAATCAAGCGATCAAGCGATTGCTTTGCAATATTTGTTTGAGTCCTAAAAAGTCGCACCTATGCTCACTAAGAGCGGAGTGACCTAAGTGGTGGTCTAAATAAACGATTGCCTGCGCGGGGACTAGTTCAAACCAACAACGTGAGAGGTGGCCTGTGTTTAGACTTAGTGAAAACACACCACGTGATACATGATACATGGGCTGAGTTGGCGGAGTAGTCTCGGCTTGTATAAGTAGCTTGAATTGTTGGGACAGATTGGTTTGGGAAGGCGTGTAATGGAGGGAAGTCCCTCAGTAGTTGTAGCTCTTCCTCTGTTACGTCGCTGCGCCCCCATCGAACATCTTGTAACTGAGCTTTGAAGGTTTTGTGAGTGAGATGCCAAGGGACGGCTTTACCGCTGTGTTTGATGTGTCTGGGTTGAAACCCCTTTTTAAGTCGACGCGCTTTGGTCCCTCTGGTGGTGTGGTTTAGGTTCTGGTCTTCGAGAAATGAGTCTCTCAACCAGTCCCGTTTAAGCTTCCTGGCTTCTTCTCTCAAGTTCTTGTAAAATGCACGCGTTCGGGGTCGTGATCAGCGCGGAGTAGCTTGGCCTTGGCAATATCCGCTGCCAGGTCAGGAGTGGTCCAAGGTTGCTGGGGCAGGTGTTCCAGTAGGGGCAGAGTGCCGCGCTGCTGGATGGAGCACAATAATTTAGTGTATTCGTCCTCAATGGTAGTGAATCCGGCCGGCATGGAGTGTTCCGTGAGGTCGTGTGGGTGTGCGAAGCGGTCGAGTGACGCGCGTCGGCCCTGCGGTGTGAGAGCGATTTTTCCCTGCTCCGCTAAATGATCTGCGGGTTCATTATGGGTGTTTCCGCTGAGTCCCTTTATCCATTTCCAATGGATTATATGCCTATGTTCGAGGGCGGAATAGATGTCTTTGGCGAGTTTTACCATGGTGTTATTTGCTTTGGTCTAGTGCGGGCGCGCATCATGTCGGCGGCCCACCTGCTGTCGTAGTGAAAGGTTATGGTTGTTGGCGGAGTAGTCAAGGAGAGTATGAACAGCGCTGCCTCCATGAGTGCGCTAAGTTCCCCTGTCTTCTTGCTACCTACCGTAGCTCCCAGGTAATACACTGGCCGAACGTCAACCGTTACCCGGCCGTGTGCTGACGTAGTTTCTTCGTCGTCTTCCGCTACTGTGTCGCCCAGAAATCGACCGGCGGAGTCGGTTGTTCGCTTCTTGCTGAACTGGTTGACAACCCAATGCTGACTTGAATTTGGAGTTGAAAGCTTTGGGTTTTTTCCTCGGTAAAGGCGGAGTAGTCATGTTTGGGGGGAAGTGGGGCTTTTGGGGGCGTAGCCGCTAGTTTGACCTGGATCTCGGCTTCTAGAAGGTAATTGTCACTCGGGAATCCTGTGTCATGAAAAGCTTGACACCTCAAGACTGTAGGTATCCACTTGGACCTAGTAACCACACGATCTAATTAACGACGGAAACCGAAGTGGATCAACCTGCGGGCGGAGTAGCTGGGATGGGATCGGACAACTATCCGTGACGAAATCTCGTGTGGTAGCTGCGATGCAGATGTTGTCACTAGTCTCTAAAGGTGGTAAGTGCAAGATTTTATCCCAGAACTGCGTCCAGCCATGGGATCAGAAGCGAACTGCAGCCAGTCTGTTGGTGGAGGGTGCTTGTGCCTGTAGGTAACATGCTTGGTAAGATTGGGCTGCTTGAAGGTAAGTATGTCCTTGAGACCTTCACCTTTTAGTCGATCGGAGTAGTAACGACGATTGGGTCCTTCTTCGCTGTGAGGACTAAGTAGCCCCGGCGCAAAAACTGTGAAACTAGAACGTACCATGCCAACCTGCTGAAGTACATCCTGACAACAACCACCATGCACATGCGAAAAGGACTGTCAGCCGAGATGCCTACATGCCAAGTTTAGAGCGTTGGCTAAACCTTTCACCTCTAAAAGCTGCTGCTCTCCTGACCTGTGTACTTTCACTGCAAGAAGCCCACCAGCACCGCGCACCCCATACCGAAGCACAGGAAGCTTCAGAAGCCTTAGCAAGCGACCTTGCAAAGGAAACTGTGGCTGCAACAGCCGCAACTCTACAGTGTAGATACGGAGCCCTCTTCCGAAAATCAGAGCCAACATCTCTCCTGAAAACAAATCCCACCCAAGCCCGGCCTCCACGGGTTGCATCTCTCAGAAGCCAAGAGGTCCACATGGCAGGAGGCTCTGGCTTGCGGGGCTTCTTGACTTGGGTATCGGATGATGGGAAGCTGTGGATGTAGTAGCTTCTGGAGGTTCTGCTTGGGGTTTTGGGCACTGGCCAGGCTTTCCCTGAGGCTTCCCGACCTGTTGCGATCTGGGTTCAAGGTTCTGAGTTCAGAGCTCAAGTTGAGACAAGTCAGGACGGCAAAGGAGCCCTCGTGCGACTTCCCAACACGGAGCCCGGTGCCCACACACGCACACACACACACACACGCACACTTTCAGTTCATGCCGTGACAGACGCAAGAAGAAATTTACACTAATTACTTCGAACAAATCGCTGGAGACTGTACGGGATAACTCTGCGGATTGGCACCCCGGGACTTCCTCTGATACTCTGAGGATTTTTCTGGGGGGCTGTCACTCCAGAATTTTCTGCGGGCGCTCCATGCTTACTTCGTGGGATGCCTCCAGGGTCACTCTGTGGTATGTTTCGAAGAGAAAAGCGAGCGGGCGAGGATTCTGCCTCAACACACCGAAACTGAAAAAAGGACCAAAGTTCCCCTGCGGGAGAGGCTCTCACGAACATTCACGTAGAAAAATAGGTTGACAGCTGACCATCGGAATAATCCTCTTATATGGATGAGGTAATCGGTTACTTCCTATACTGGTACTGGCATTATTGGTAATGGGGTAGTAGTGGTGATATATTGGGTGGGGTGTAGGGGGGNNATAATCGTCTAATGGGTTGACTGGTGGTATTATTACCCAAAATGGGCAAGGGTTCTGCTAACTCCTTTTTGGTACCTCCGAGACCTGCGCATGACTCCAGTGGATCCGGTAACTCGGTTGGGAACGGTAAATCACCAGCTCTGGAGAGTGCCGCATTCTGTACTCCATCCGACGTCTGTAACAAGATCGGACATCAGACAGACACTAAACTACTGAGGCCAGTAAGTCAAGGCCAGCAAACCTCCGGAGAACGAAGGCGAAAGCGCCCATAGCTCGTCAATTACCAATGTACTGACCCTCCTTGAAGAACGTCCCGTACTGCGGAGCGTCGTAGGCTTTCGTGTGTATGTCTAGCCACCGGATCCCCGTCTCCACCAGAAGCCGGATTTCTTCTGAGAGGTCTTCCTTGGCTTCATGTCTGGCCGCTAACTCGGCGTGCTTCTTCCGCAGTGTGGCTAGGAAACGATTATGCTCGCTTCGATGAGTGATTACATTCGGTATCTTGTACTCTTCGAACAAAGCTTCCTCCGCCTTAAAATGGGCGTCCACTGCATCGATAATGTGTCCCAGATCCTCAACACAGCTTGAAGACTGCTTCAAGGCAATCACTGCATCGTACAGCTCTTCATGCTGAGAATCCATTTCGGGGATGTTGACGGAGAGGGTGTGCTTTGTCTTTGCCATGGCTTAGCTTCGCACAGTTCCAAGAAGTCTTCCAAAAATGAAGTGAACGGTGGTCCCTCGGTCGGACTCGAGGATAGCTTGAGCCCTGCAACGAAAGCCGAAACTGCTTGGTCCATGGTCCGCGGACTTGCCTCTTCACGGGACTCTGAATGCAAACCCAGCAAGGCAGAGGCTCAAGACACTCGGTTGCACAGAGATCCACATCCATGCCGGGAATGATGCATGGGCATAATCGATGACAACGGCAATGATGCTGGCAGAATACTCGCTGCCAAGAGCATCGTCATCTTTACTTCTTTTGGTTGCCCTGCCTTCTGCTGCTGCGACAACACCCTCACGATTGTAGAGGCACATTTTCCTTTGGGGGGCTTAGCTTCAAGAACACTTCGAATGCGCTTGGCTTCTTCCACCGGCTTCGGTGATCGGCCCAGGCTCTGCAGAAGTGTTGTCTCCTTGTCTGCACCCGCCGCTTGGTTCAAAAAGCGGCGAATTCGAGGCAGCTCGCTGCAGTGAGTTACTGAACAGTCTTCATGCATGATGCTTGCATGCGGCGTCCAAGTGTGCAAAAATGCAATACCGGCATGCGCCGACAAGATTACATGTGTAGAACAGATGTAGGTACCCATGTCTCCATCTATCCATCTGCCTGTCTCTTCGTCTATCTTTGTGTCTATCTATCTCTCTATCTATCTATCTATCTATCTATCGCTCTATCTCTGTAGCTCTCTATCTTTCCATCTTTCTATCTTTCTATCTTTCTTTCGCCAGGGCTAGGGAGAGAGACATCTCTTTCTTTCTCCCTCTATCTATCTCTTTGTCTGTCTATCTATCTGTCTGTGTCTGTCTGTGTCTGTCTGTGTCTGTCTGTGTCTGTGTGTCTGTCTGTCGGGTGTGTTTGTGTATGTGTGTGTGTGTGTGTCTCTGTGTGTGTGTGTGTCTTGCTCCCAAACAGTGTGGCGCGG